GGCCTGGGGCCCGCTGGCTGCAGGCGTCGATAGCCTCCTCCTGCCGGAGTAGCTAGGAATACAACAGGGCCTGCCCGCTGCCGCACGCCAGTCCCAGGCCCTCGGCAAGAAGTCAGCCGTCTCTCCCACACGTCTGCGGCTCAGCGTTAGGCCGGGGGACTTGCTTTCCTGCTGGAAACTTCCTCTGCGCCTCAGCTGAGGCCTGTCGTGTCTCCAGCTGCCCCGGCCACGGCTCAGGGGCTGACGCACACACCAGCCTGGCAGAGCCGCTGGGGCAGCCTGGCTTCTCCCCACCCGGGCTGCTGCGCCGTCTCTGACGGCGAGTCGGGGTCCCCCTGGGCAGCCAGAACAGGCTCCCCCAGCCGGTAAAACAGGGCGGGGTTTATTGCTTCTCCAGTATATAGCCCAGCACAGACGTGACGTGGCTACAGGAGTCAGGGCCAGGATGCCTCCGACCCCTTGGGATGGGGCGCCTGGGCCCCTGGGCTCCCAGCCCCCTCCTTAGCCTGTCTCCTTCATGGCTCCAGCCAGGAACTGCCCCTTCCCCCACCACTCCCTCCCTTTGACCCATCCCTTTCCTTAACGGGCAGGACCGGTTTGGTCACCAAGCACAGCACCCAGCAAGGTACTGACACTGCATCACGCCGTCCTGCCCTGGCCCTCACAACACCCCCCGCGGGGGGACAGATTTCAAGAAAACCCCTGCTGTGCCTGGGAAGAGGAGCGTGTTGACGTCCTCAGCGGGCACGCGCCCCGGGGACAGGAGCCCACTCGCAAACCAGAGCGCCAAGCGCCACAAATGGAGACCCCCTGCCGCACGTCAGCAAGGGGTCGGCTCTGCCCACGCCTCGCGCTGCCGCTCCCCTTGCCCAGGAGGGACGCTCGCCGGGCAATTTCCGGCAAAGCAAAATATTCTGCAAAAGCTTTTGCAAACTCTAAGCTCCATTCCATGGCTCCCAGGGGACACGGGACTGGCTGCCTGCTACCCAGCAGCTCAAGCGGAGTGCTGATTAGGACCCAGAAAGTAAAGCGATCGGTGCAAGGGAACGCACTGACTTTCATGGAGCAGCCAGGAGAAAGCTACAAAGTCAGCGGGGAGCAGGCAGCGGGGACACGTAAATTAACCTGTTTCAAAAATCTAAGCACCGATCAGGAAATCTCGCTGTAGAAATGGGATGTTTTACACTGACTATTTTTGCTCTTCACGCTGCTGTAGCACGCTCCCTCGGAGCACTCTGAAAGCCGTGCCATGACGTACGCTAGGCAAGGACATTCTTTGTGAAACGACAGTTCCACAGCTCCGGGGCGGGAGTTTACAGGCAGGTAAACTGAGGCAGGGAGCGGTAAGAGATCAGACTTTCACACCTTTCTGATTCTTTCCCGAGTCCCCATACGGCGCTCTTCACGCTGCTGTAGCACGCTCCCTCGGAGCACTCTGAAAGCCGTGCCATGACGTACGCTAGGCAAGGACATTCTTTGTGAAACGACAGTTCCACAGCTCCGGGGCGGGAGTTTACAGGCAGGTAAACTGAGGCAGGGAGCGGTAAGAGATCAGACTTTCACACCTTTCTGATTCTTTCCCGAGTCCCCATACGGCGACCAGTTAGGCCCTGGGCCGCGAGCCAGAGGCAGAATTCTCACCGCGGCCCCCCGAGCCCGGACCCACCTTGTACACCACGGGGCTGAACCAGGCGGGCATGAAGACCAGGTTGCAGAGGCGCGCGGTGGGGCAGTGCTGATCGATGCTGGCCAGCAGGGCCACGTCCCCCAGCTTCCCCTGGCCCACCACCTCCACCGGCACCTTGAGGGGGACCTCGCTCTGCTCCTCCCACACCC